ATCTCTACAAATTGTTTGTCGAAATAACTTAGAATGTGTGAAACTGAAAAATTATCCTGATGTAAATATATTTTTCGATGATTTTGAGAAGTATGTAAACGAGCTGAAACATGCTGGCACCACATTGACGGAACAAAAAAAAAAAAAACTGAACTATATGCTAAGAGCATTACCTTCAAATTACAGTCACATTGGTGACTTAATAGATGTATTACCAGAGAAGGACAGAACAGTCAATTACCTAAAGAGCATGTCCATCAAAGGTAATCAAAATTACTTGAAGAGAAAAATGATTATGAAGATTGTGCACCAGCAGAAAAATCAAATGCGTTCAAAATTGAAACAAGCAAATCGGGTCCACAAGGGAATGTCTGTTATAGTTGTGGAAAACCTGGTCATATTAAAAAGAATTGTTGGCATTCCATCAAAGGAACTATCATGGTAACGGCTTCACTAATTATTGTGGTCGAAGTGCTTCAAACAATCGAGAGCGTAGCCGTGCTTTTAGTGGACATCGTGGACGCGGAGCATGCTCTAACCATAGAATAAACAGTCATCAAGGCAATAGTTTTCACACCAATGTTATTGAAAGTAACATGTCAAGTTCTAGTGCAAATACTATGGCGAATAAAAATGAAATCAGGTGGTTACTGGATAGTGGATGCACAGATCACATTATAAACAGTGATGAATATTTCAAAGAGCAAGTCACTTTGAAGGATCCTATTCAAGTGAAAGTCGGTGACGGAAGGATTTTGAAAGCTATAAATGTTGGGAATATAATAGTTTCTTTTCCTGTATATAACTCTGAATCTGTCGTAACATTGAAGAACGTATTTTATGTAAAAGAAATGAAAGCAAATTGATTAAGTTATTCGAAGATTACTGATAATCATAAAATTGTTTCAAAAGAAAAGTTCTCTAAAACATATGATGTCAATGGTTCATTAGTAGTAATAGTAAAGAAAGAAGAAAGATTATATAAAGTAAAGAGTTATGTTAAAAATAATAAAATATTTGCAAATTTGGCCAACAGTAAGTTAACATTAAAAGAAAAATTGCACTGTTAATTTAGACATGTAAATTTTAAATATCTGGATATTATGTGCAAATATCAGCTATTAGAAGGAATCTCTAAAGAAGTAGAAACCGAATATATGAAGTATGCCATATGTATTGAAAATAAAATGCACATTTAACCATTTGAGAATAATAGAAGAAAAGCAGAAAGATATTCTGGAGATTATACAACGGACGTAAATGGACCTCACAGAACAAGTGGATGTAATGGTGAGAAATACTTTGTGAGTTTTATTGGATGATTATAGCAAGTGGCAAACATTTATGTATCAAATCTAAGGATCAAGTCTCATTGCTTAATTGAATATGTAAATGAAATTCAGAATTTAACAGGGAAGATGATCAAAGAACTAAGATGGATAATGGTAGTGAATATATGAATAGCAAGATATACAAATTTTGCAAGAAAAAAAAGTAAAGATAAAGTCATGCCCCACCATATGTACATGAATTAAATTTTACTGCTGAGTGTTAAAACAGAACTATAATGGATATGGCAAGCTGTCTTTTAGCCGAAGCAAAAGTTGACAGACGTTCTGGCGTGAGTATTAAAGCTGCTGTTTCTTTGAAAAAAACAGGACAAACAAATACTGCTGTAAAGAAGACACTTTACAGCAGTATTTTTTAATAACAAGAAGCTTTTTAATAGATTTATTATTACACATAGCCTGCAATATCCAAAATTTGTCAAATTGTCAGAATCACTAGGGCGATGGGCAGGACAGGGCTCTCTCCTTCTGAATCGCCAATCGCCTCTCAGTTCTTCATTAATACACCAATAAATGTATTTTACCATCAGTACCCAGTAGTGCACCAATCCCAGTGTCTCAGTTCTATTAGCGTCCATCAGTGTCTCAGCGCATTCTTCCTTCAAGTATTAGCACTTGCACATGTAAAAAACAATGGTATCTGCATTCATTATAACATTTGTTACTGTAATTTATACAAACTGCCGCAAATTCTTAATACTCAAATTATTCTTGCGATAGATCTGCGCATTATGTATATATACATTGTACTTAAATCTTTTATGCACTATCTTCTTTATGTATTCTGTTTAATACCTTTGTATACGTATTTCCGCTCTGTATATCACATTTTTAGTGTTGGTGTACTATTTCTAAAGTTGCATCATGTTTCATGTATTTTATCAATATTTCATGTCTCTTGTATTTTATCATGTATTCTGTGTCTCAGTATTGTATCAATGCATTGCATGTATTTTGTCATGTATTTTATCAAGTATCATGCTTTTTACTAAGCTTTGTTCACTGTCTGTACACCCCCTGTAGTAAGTATAGAATCTCTAGATACCTCAGTATTCCCAATATAACAACCTATCACGCCATTGGCAATATGCTTAGTTATGAGTGAGTGAAGAGTATTGGTATCTAATTACGCCTTATGTTTATGTGATTAATGTGTTGTTTTTCGCTTTTTTTTTTTTTTTTTTTTTTTTTTAAAGACCCATTCTTTTTATGTCTTGCACTTGACTATTTATGACATGCTAATGTATCCTAAACTGCAATGTAACACAATCACTCATCTGCTCTTGTTGCACTGTAAATACTTTTATTAATTTAAATAAAGTTGCTGCTTCTACACAGGGGAAGGCGTGGGACATATGCCTGTTTACCACTGTTAAACACCAGGCTTCCCCGTCTTCCGTCACCTGTGACCTGTAAAGAAGACACCATATGAAATATTTTTAATAGGAAACCATCTGCAAATGAATTGAGCCCACCAGCGGCCGAGCGGTAAAGTCGCTGAACACTGGTAGTTCGGTCCGAGGTTCGAATCCCACGAACGGGCTGGCTGCATGGGCGTTTTCATGGTTTTCCCCATGTGTAACGTGTATACGAGCCAGTTTCTCTTAGAAAGTCCTCCACGAAGGCAACCCTCCCATTAGGCAGATAGCCCTCGAGGCTTTGCCATAATCACACACACACACACACACACGCAAATGAATTGAAATTATATGGAAGTAGAGTGTATGTAAGAAAACCAGAAGAAAAGAGAAAGTGGGATAAAAAGGCTAAATTTGGAATTTTACTGGGATATACAGAAGTTGGATATAGAGTTTTGATGAATAACAGAATAATAGATAATTGCCAGGCATGTTGACGTCATTGAAGAAGACATAATGTGTGTAGGTTGTGATGAAGGTGAGAATGATGATACAAATAAGAAGAATGAACCTCAAGAAGTGTTATATGAATCGATTAATGATAACTCCAAAGACAGTGTGATAAATGAAGATGAAACAAAAAGTGGATTGAGACCAAGAAGGCAAATCAAACCACCAGTTCGATTTCATGAAGAATTCGGATACTACTATGTTAGTGCAAATTTTTGTGATGCTACAGTTCCAGGTAACTTTGAGGAGGCGACAACATGCAGTGAGGCTGGACATTGGAAAGAGGCAATGGACAGTGAAATGAACAGTCTTGTTAAAAAACAACACTTGGACACTAGTGACTAAAACCAGAGGATAAAGCAATTCTAGATGTGAAGTGGGTATTCAAAACAAAACCAGGTAATGTTTTTAAAGCTAGATTCCAGTGGTTCGAGCATCCGTGAGGATTCCAGCAAAAAGATAGTATTGAGAATACTTACTCCCCTGTCATTAAGATGCAAAATTTAAAATTGTTACTTTCATATTCTTGTCAATATAATTTAAATATTCATCAAATGGATGTTGAGACTGCTTTTTTAAATGGTTATGTTGTGTCTGAGGTTTATGTTAAACAACCACAAGGCTATAATGATAATTCGAATAGAGTGTATAAATTAAAGAAAGTACTATATGGGTTGAAAGAAAGCCCTCGTGCTTGGTATGAGTGTTTTAATGAGTATATTGAGAGTCTAGGATTTCGTAGAAGTAAATATGATTATTGTCTTTATGTAAAAATCTGAAAATGGATGTATTTGTATATATTCTTTTATGTGTTGATGATTTGTTGATATGTTGCAAAGATACTCAGGTAATCAATTATATTATAAGAACAACTACATAATAAATTTAAAATGAAGGATTTAAATAAAGTAAAAAGCTACATTGGAATTGATATTGAATATGTTAATGAGAAAAGTAATATCTTAACATCGAGTCAGGAAAATTATATTGAATCTTTAGCTAAACTGTATGGTATTGAAAATTCAAAGCTTTATGATATACCAATGGAAATTAATCTTAAACTAAAACAATCTAATATAAATCAAAATGTCAAATATGGAAATCTAATAGGGGCACTCTTGTATATTAGTCATGGTACTAGATCAGACATATCTTTCAGCGTAAATTATTTAAGTAGATTTCAAAATTGTTATGATGAGACACATTTCAAATATGCTTCGAGAGTTTTGACAGAGTACATCGAGATAAAATACTGCATTTAGTAAGGAATTATAAGCCAAATAAAATAAAAACATCTGCCCTGAAGATAAGGAGAGTGCTGACAGATCAACTTCAGTTCATTGTGCGCTGCGTCGGTCCCCCCCCCCCCCCCGGCAGAGCAGCGTGAAATTGATAAACATATTTCGGAATATTTAGAGAATCAAAGGATATGCCTTTATCCATTTTTTGCAGCACTTCCACTTTTTGTTTAATGGACATCGAAACATGCTTTCGCTTTGTAGATCCTTTGGCAGCTCCAGAATCGGAAATGTTTTTTGACATAATCGAAAGTTCAAGCTTACTTTTTATAAAATTGCTCTAACAGTCTGCAAAAAATAATAAGCTGGATCCAATTTGAAGATTAAGAAACAACGCAATCTGCAACATTAACTGAAATAGATAATTAGATAATTTTAGCTTAGCTTATTATCTAATTAAACGTGCATGCGTAAACGTATTATGCGCATGCGTAAAGGTATTATGCGCGTTTACACATGTGCAGAAAGTTTGTAGCTTTGAGGTCCGGATTATAGATCATTCCGGATTATGGACATCCGGATTAAAGACTTTTGACTAATAATAATGCATTATAAAAGACTGCAATGGTCAGCCTCAATGTAACTTTTTGCAATCTTTTTATCAGTTTCCTTTATAATGCAATGTTTTGCAATCACTTTATCAGTTTCCTTCTATTGAAACTTTCAAGCATTATTTCACAGCATTATCGTACACAACTTTTGCTGTTTGTAAACTTCGTTTTTATTTTTAGATTTCTGAGTGTAATATTTTACAGAAATTTTAAAAAAAAAAAAAAAAAATCCCACCTCTCACATCCCGTAAATTTTTATTGTAGCATTGCATTAAATGTACAGCAAGTGTCATTTTAAACTTCTCATTTGCAAAACCTTCACCTCATTAGTTTTCCAAATGTTCAGCTCTGTGGGCCAAGCAATAGTCTAATCTTCACTAATGAAACTGGCTATCTGTGCATAATTTCTCATGCATTTATGTACACATAATTGTAATAATTAAAATCATTACAATTAACTTTATGGACAAACAAACCAACTTTTATGGAGAAAATATGCTATTGTGAACAGTCCCTATTGAGAATATGAAAAGTTTCTTTAAAAGACCATATTTATGTGCCATATAATTTGTAATATCACCAAACATAAAGCTGTTATCTATAATTTTGTGATATTTTATTATTCTGTGAAACATTAGTAAGCTGATTTTTTAATTCAGTGGTTGCGCCTCTTGAATTATAGTCACTTTATGTAATATTTGAACTCATGTGAAAGAAGCTGAAATATTAAATTTTTGGAAACAAAAATCAATTTTTTAACTTCATGTTTTTAATAAAAGGCAATTTTCATTACTTGAAATTTTTAACTAATAATTTTTCTTTAAATTTTTAGTTGGTTATGACTTCTATGGAGAAGAAATTTTTTATAGTGGAACTTCTGGTGAAGAACTAGAAGCTGCTGTGTTTTGTGGCTCAGCGTATTATTTAAAATTGTGCCATATTGTTGAAGAAAAATATCAAGTAAATTCATCTGTATTTTATGTAAATCTATAATTTACTGAATTTTAGGTTTCAATGGAAGTATAGAATAAATAATTCATTTGCAGACCAACTATGCTTTGAAATTGGAACTTAAAGTTGAAAAAAAAAATCGTTTAAAAATGTAGTTATTCAGTTTTCTTTCAATGCAGTAATACTTATTTGAATGAAAAAGTTATATTTAATTTCTGTGGGTATGGTAATATTTATGTCAGCCTTATATATTTTTAATTAATTATATAAAGAATGAGGAAATACATATTTCGACTTGTATATATTCAGTAATTTTTCATAAAATAAGGAACATGTAAATTATTTTATCTACTTAGTATTAAATTATTTTATGTAGTTACAGTAAATTCTTGTATTTATTTTATTAGTTTGATACTGCACTATAAAATAGAGTTTGTATATAATCATTTTCATTATGACATCATTGTTTAGTGAATGATGTCACAATGAAAATGATTATATACAATCTCTGTTTAGTGAATCTTATTTAGTATTGAAAGTGTGCAAAAGTTTTGAATCTCTTGCATGTATAAAGCAAATGTGCTTTTGTATAGATATGTGTATATAGATGTATGTGTGGTTGAAAAATGCAGGTGTGTGTTATAGAAAAATGCCATAAGAATTTAACTTATGAGAAAATAGATAAAGAATTTAAAATATTGAAAGGAACAAGGAGTATGTTGGATATGCTTTACTTTTGATTAAAATTACTTACATCTCCCTCTGTTGAGGACTAAAAAGCAGTGAACTTAAACGAAGATCCACAGTTTAAATTTTAAATGTTAATGATCTCACAGCTGAACTAAAACAATGAAATTGAAGCTGATTAATATACACACTAGTCATTAAAACATTGCTGATGTTTTTATCACTCTGCCAGTTCATGTCACATGAAGTTACACCAGCCACAGGAGGATTAAGATGAGTAGTATTCCTAGATGAACTTAAATTTTGAGAAATTACAAATGTACTATTTTCTAAGCAGGTTAGAAGCAGACCTGCTGATCTTGTGTTGACAGTTAAGCATTTGAAAGTTTTAATGTGCATTCTGTTCTTACAATATTGCCTACTATTCACTGCTGATATAAGACCATGGCTGTGCTCCTGTAACAGTTATCTGCCTTTCTTGTATTTCTGCTTATTCCAAAAAACTTTTTGACCATGATAGAATGGTTAAGGTGGATGCGAATGTTAATCATAATTATGCTAGCTTTGCTACCTATATTCCAAATGCTAGATTAGGAATTAGTGTATGAACGCATCTATCCATCAAAGCTTCAACAGGTGAATGCATACCATCTATAACATGTTCATGCATTTCATCAGAACAAGATGGATATCAATCTTATCTTATGCAATTCTAGTTAAGCTTAATTTCATAGTCTGCACACACCATTCAGTCTGACCAGTAGAATGAGGATAGTTAGGACTTTAAGAGTTTAAAAAATATCCCTTTTTTTTTTTTTTTTTTTTTTTACAAAAGTGATGAAATTCCTTGGAATCAAACAATGTATCGTTGTCATCAGCTATTTCCTTTGGAATACCAAAACATGAAAAACAGGTTTTCAAAGCATCAACTATAGTAGGTTCAGTTGTTTGATGCAAATGTTGTAATTTACTATGTTTGGAAAATAGTTATTGGACAAAATGTGTGAAACAATGTTACAGATGAGAGGTGGAAGAAATTTGTGGCAACTTTTTGCCAAGGTCTATCGGGTATCTTCCTATCTAGAAGAGGCTCTTTGATGTTCTGCTTTTGATTATTTAAGCAGATCGTGCACCTTGATATTCAGTTTTAAATATGTTTCTTGCTGATAGATTGTCAAGGAATGTGTTTACAAGTAACTATGCCCCTATGGTCAAAATATAGACACTTACATATATTTTTGTGACAACATTTTAGGAGCTTTAGTCATTGTTCGTGACAAATAATGCCATTTTCAATATGTAATAAATCTCATCAAGTTTAGATTGTGTTGCTTCCTGAGGCCATTAGTTGTATATAAAATATATCTGTAATAATGACAGGAACTGATGACAGAGAAGCTCTAGAAAAAGCGTCAGTGTCAGCTAACTGTTTTCCAGTAATATGTGCAATCAGAGAAATAGTTTCTGATGAGATGGCATCAAATGGTTTGTGAATTAAACCCAACAAGAGTTAATGATCTGTTTGTATTTCTATATTTCGGATGGTAATATAATAAAATATACTATAATATTCGGTATAATATTACTAAAAATGTTATAATGGAAAAGTTCACAAGCATGAAGTACAGAAGAAGTTTTTTTCCCTATTTGGGAATAGCTGGACTGTGCATCAGTTAGTTTTACTGAAATACAAGCTACTGCTTTATTATTCTTTAAGAGAACTCCATCTAGTCCAAATAAACTAGTATCTATGGTAAAACTAGTTTGTCTTTATAAAAGACTGCAGAGGTTGATTGAAATTGATATTATAGTTAAAAATGTCCGATCATATTGCACATCCCATAAAAATTATCAAAGTGTCTGAGAACATTAAGGCAAAATTCTCATTAAGTATGCTGCCATACCCAGGAATTTCATCAATTCTTGTTTATTTGTAAATGTGGGAAAATTTACAACTTTGTTGGATCTGTTGAGAGTCCAACATGAGATTATGTGGCTTAATTCTGAGACTGTAGTTTGAATTTCCTATTTGTTTAATTTCAACTCCTCTTGTTCAGCAATTTTAAAAATCATTTTTAACTTTTCACAATGATCATCTAGAGTTTCATTGTGTATAATCATATCATAAAAATATGGATAAATGTTGGCCAAATGTTTGAAAAGATTCCATTGCCATTTGAAACACTTCAACTGAAGCCAAAAGGCATGACAAGGAAACGATATCTCCCAAAAGGAATAATATTTATGCACAATCATCATTTATTTCAGGGATTCTCAAACTTTTTTTTTTTTTTTTTTTTTCATTGACCCTTTACATTTTTCTCTAAAATATGTAGCATACAATGTAATCATGATAAAAATAACTGCACATAAATAAATTTAAGATAATAATTAGAAATTTAAGGTATATATAATTTAAGATAATAATTGAATAATTATGACTAAGAATATGAACAAAAGTTTTGAAAAAAAAAGGTTTATTATTTTTTAATTTTATTTTTTTAATTCTTTTATTTTTTTAAACGTAAACAAATTTTCATAAACAAAATTAGAGATTTTAATAGCTCAAAAGTTCGATCTTAACTAATGTGATAGGGTGCATTTGATGAATTGATGCAATTTTTTAAATTCTTTTCATGCAACTACTTAGTCTTTAAACCACCTTGTTCAAAAAATATTGAAACTTTTTTGTTTCTGATGTAAATTATTGATTTTATTAAAGTCTACTTCTACTCGGATTTAAAGAGAAGGGTGGCCAAGTAGCATGATGAGTTGTAATGATGTAGCAATGTTGTTGCACATGATAATGCAGAGATGTCGCATTATGTCATTTTTAAGATGCCCAGACAGAAAATTGCATGCTTCTGTGCATTGATTTCAATCATTACCTTCATTTCCTTTTGTGCAACGATGTCACTTCACATTCTTGTCACAAAAATGTAGGATGTTAGGTAGTACAATATCATATGGTGACGTTTTGTGATGCCATATTTAATCTATCTTTTTTGCGACTTTCGCGCTTAAAAAAGGTAAATAAGGCTCGATTTAACGACTTTTTGTTAAATCGAGTAATCGACTTTTTGTTAAATTGTTTTTGTAAATGTAGTGTTTTATTGAACCATTGTTTTTATTAAAATATTGTTGTGTGCGTACGGGTTCGTTATGAAATGAATGCACAAGTCCGATGAAAAATGAACAAAATTTATTATCATCACGACAAATATGCTTAAATTTCCTGAAATTATCGTGCAGTATTACAATATCTCACAGTAGTTATCTTTTAACTACTCAAATGTTCAATAGAACTTAATTCGAAACAGCTGAAGAAAGCTGATCCCCGAATTTGCTGCAATCAACAAGAGCAGGTTTCCAAACAAACTCTTAAAACAACAACAAGCTAACTAAAATAACTGGCTGACTAAATTGAGAGGTTTTCTTCCTTTTTATAAGATTTTTAAATCACGCATGAGAACTTTCTGGAACTTTCTCGAAATCAAAAAGAGATATTTATTAAATGTTAAATGCAGGCACTCTTGTATTTTCAATTTTTTAGTTTAGCTTTCTTTTAATATTCGTCACGCGTTGCACTGTGCGGAGAATAAAACCATTTAATTTATAATTCAACTAACATTAGCTATTTAAATACCAAATCCGTAACAATATTTTTTAGTTTATTAATTTGCTGTTCTTCTGAATTCTGACATATATCTATTTACTTGTTATTAAGAACATCTGAATAAAATGCATATTTAATAAACTAATTATATAATAATGACTTATAATAAACTTAAATAAAAGCTTCATACATGTTCAGATCTTTCTGCATACAATATAATTGACCTAAAAATATAACCATCATTATAAATAACTGTTTATTGCTTGATTTTAATTATTTCTGTGTATTAAAAAAAACTTATTAAGTTTAGAAATTATATTTCGCATGAGATCTCTTGCTATCAACAATCTGTTATGAAATAAAAATAGTGTAAATTAATGCATTTGTTAAATTTAAAGTTTTTTTCTACAGATTTATATAAAAATATTCACCTGATAAATCAAAGTATAGCAAAATAGATGACATCATTAAGATGTTTTAAAACATGATTGCAACTTCTCGGACCAATTTAACATATTTGCTACTGAATGTGCTATTTGGGAGGTCATTTCTTTGAGTGATCCATTTACGAGATCTATAAGCATCATTTACAAGACTTCCGTTGACTCACTGGAGGACCTCGTTGCACAACTATCCATTGCGGCTGCAAGCGTGCGTGAAATGCCTGTCGTTTTTCTAAATGTTCGTCAGTCCCTTTTGCAATGTTAGCAAGCATGTACAGTACAAAGTCCATAATCCGGACTCTTCAGGACTTTGGCGATTCCGGATTGTAGATCATCAATTTAAATCTGGTAAGATGGCATGCAGAAACTATACAGTTAAAAATATGAAACCGTAATTTATGAAATAAAGAGCAATTATGATCTAAAGAGTATCAAATTTTACAAAAAAAGCATAATATTTATTTGTTTACTTTATTAAACATTTCTTTCAATGCACGCATGCGTAATGTATGCGCATTCTTTACGAACATGCGTAAAGTTTGTGGCTTTGAGGTCCGGTTTATAGATCATTCCGGATAATGGACGTTCGGATTACGGACTTTGTACTGTATTACTGCTGGTGGTCGCAATTTTGAACATTTATTGTGAATACTGTATTGCTACAAAGAAGCACTTTGCGTTGATTTTGTACATAAACACATTTTCCTCTCGTGTCGTTTTTTTGCGTTCATGCCTTAACCCGTTGCTTTAGACCCTATATTCCTATAAAAAATACATGTTTTAGTACGCTCCACCATCCCTCCAAGTTTCTCCCATGATCTGTGAAACACCCTGCATTTCAAACTACTAAAACATTAAATAGAACATAAATCAAAGCGCAGAGGAAGCTAATCCAATCTCAGAATTACAGTAGCTAAGTAAACAGCAACAACTTAGTAAACAATTGAGCTGAGATATTCTCTGTCTGGCTTTTATAGCTTTTCGGCCACACGAGAGACTTCTAGCAATTTCTGGAAAGCAAAAAGCGAACAATGACGGTTGCAGTTAACATTGTAGTGAATAACATTTATTCAATGTTAAATGCACGTGGACTTGTATTTTTACTTTTCCAGCATAGCTTTCTCTTAAAATCTGTTACGCTCTGCATTGCACGAAGAAATAAAACAATTTTAATTAAAATTCTACTAAAAATAGCCAACTACATACAGAATCAATAGCAATACTTACATGTATATATGCATACATGAACACATACATCTATGCATACATATATTTCTTTATCCGGTCCTGATAACTGAAATTACCAAATTCTGATATGATTTGAAATGACTGACATTTTGTATGTTTCCTGAATAAGAAACTTTTCTGCCTTAGACTTGCAGAAATAATTATATCTATAAAAATTTCTTTTATATTGATTAGATATTAAATTATGCAATTCTTTAAATAGAAATTATTTTCATTTCAGGTTTGCAGTGTAGGAGAGGTTGATCCTAAAACTCAACAGCCAGTAAATCTTGGAAAATCAGGTGCTGTTCGTTTCGGTGAAATGGAGAGAGATGCAATTCTCTCACATGGTGCAGTTAAACTGACTATGGATCGTTTGTTGCATAATAGTGATAAATACACAGTGAGTACACAGTTGGAAAAAGAATTACAGTATAAAGTCTTGAATCCGGACTCGTCGGGACTTCGACAATTCCGGATTAGGGGTTTTTCAGGATTATAGATCATCAGTTTAAATCTGGTAAGATGGCATGCAGAAATTATAAAATTAAAAATATGAAACCATAATTTATGAAATAAAGAGCAATTATGAGCTAAAGGGTATCAAAATTTACAAAAAAAAAGCTTAATATTTATTTGGTTACTTTATTAAACATTTCTTTCAACGCGTGCATGCGTAAAGCTTACATTATGCATAGTCAAAATTAGAAAATTGCAACCAGAAAACTATTTGATGGGTATTCATGATATTTATAATGATGAGAAATTTGATTTAAATCATATCAAAGACCGGAGTACATCGAGATGAAATACTACATTTAGTAAGGAATTATAAGCCGAATAAAATAAAAACATCTGCCCTGAAGATGAGGATAGTGCTGACAGATCAACTTCCAGTTCATTGCGCGCCGCAACGTTTCTCCCCCTCCCGCAGAGCAGCGTGAAACTGATAAACAGATTTTGGAATGGTTAGAGAAACAAATCACCTCTCTGTCACTTTCTTCATGCCTTTATCCATTTTTTGCAGCAATATCACTTTTGTATAATGGACATCGAAACATGCTTTTGCTTTGTAGATCCTTTGGCAGCTCCAGAATTGGAAACTCTTTTTTGACATAATCGAAAGTTCAAGCTTACTTTTTATAAAATTGCTCTAACAGTCTGCAAAAAATAATAAGCTGGATCCAATTAGAAGATTAAGAAACAATGCAATCTGCAACATTAACTGAAATAGATAATTTTAGCCTAGCTTATACCGTCCATTATACGTTAAACGTGCATGCGTAAACGTATTATGCGCATGCTTAAATGCATATGTGCATGCGTAAAGGTATTATGCGCATATATTGACGCATGCGCAGAAAGTGTGTAGCTTTGAGGTCCGGATTATAGATCATTCTGGATTATGGATGTCCGGATTAAAGACTTTATACTGTTTAAATGTATTATAAAATTGTTGTTGAAAAGTTGACCATTTTATTATTTGAAACAGTTATGCATATTTCAAGTACTGAAAACTGCTGAGCAAAATTTACTTTTTTTATCTAATTCAGTAGGCTATTTAGAAAATACTTTTATACATGCTTTGTGTTACAATAAGTTTTAATAATTTGTAATACAAATAAATGATTTCATAATGTGAAGTAGCACAATGAAGCATTCTGCTTAAAGTAAAAATAAATAAAGTATTCTAGACCAGTGTTTCCCAAACTTTTCTCAGTGCAGAGCATTTTCTATAGTTGCTCACATTTGCTTTCGTGCACTTGTATTTTTTAAATTTATTTGCATAGGTCCTGGACTAAGTGTGTTAAAAATTCCCCCCCCCCCTTATGTAATTTTTTTCTCAAGCCTTGTAAAATAAATATCATCAAAATATTCCTTGTAATAAAAAATAAGTGGTAGACAAGTTTCTAGTAAGTTTTTGTTTTAAATGCAAATACATCTCAAGATTTATTGTTTGCATTTTGGAAATTTTTAATTAGCAAAATATATTCACGCTTCCGTATCTGAAGTGAATATGGCAAGAAGCTACAAATTAAGAACAAGTTCTGTTAGAAATTTAATAATTAATCTTCTAGAGATGGTAAAAATATCTAAAGTAAGCAGAAAATCCTTGATGTAAAGCATTCAACTATCTTTGATGTAATAAAATAATGGGAATTGCGTAGAACTATTGGAAGTGCACTGATGGTTGGACCACATTTCAAGCTAACACGAAGGAATCACTGATTTAATCTATAAGAGCCACAAAATTAATATTATAAAAGTTTTAGGAAGTTTGGAAGAATGGTTTGCAATAAAAGTTAAACTTGAAGCCTTTAAAAGAGTCATTTAGGGCACATACATACAATGGGAGATCAGCGAGAAGGAAGGAAATTCTTTGTCAATAAGAAAACAAGAAAAATATGCGTGTGTTCGTAAAATCAGAGCAAACTTTTATCCCATAGGAATAAAGTTATATTTGCATTAAAATGAAAATTTAATATATTTGGGTTATAGATGAATTAATATTGGCAAAATCCAAATTAAAAACTCTAAATTCAAAAAAGTTTGCCTAATTTTACTCATGGGGGTCAAGACATAATGGTTTGATGACGTTTTTGTTGCCTTCGGAATAAGAAATTTAGGGCTTATTGAAATAATGTGGATTAGTATAAATATTTAAATATGTTGTTACATATGGCTTTATTGGAAAGATCAATCCAAGCATATAAAACAGCTCAACTTTTTTTATGTCTTTACAAGGAGTTCATTAGAGCTCTGGTATTCCAATATAGTTTACTTATCTCGCCACATTTCTGAGACTTTTTTTCTAGTTCTGGGCATATAGGAAGATGCTCTGCATTGATGATCCCCAAACTGCTAATCTGGCATATACTAGATGGAAGGATGCCAAAAGATGATGTGCCATGCAATTGCAGTCTGAAGTTTGCCACAGCCTCTTTACGAGGTTTTTGACAAAAATTTTTCCATGTGTCTTGAATGTTAGCACAGGATTTGCCTGTTGATTTTGCTGCCTGGTCAGATTTAAGAGTATACATTAATTTCTCAAAAATATGCTTTTTAAGTGACTGTGGAGGAAGTGGTTTGCTGTCTTGTGAGACAAGTATTCTTCTCTTAGCTAGAGTCTGCCTTTTCGATACCTACATGTGAAGGAATCCATTGAAAAACGATTGTTTTGTTGTGTTTATAAAGAAAGTTCAAGGTTTGTCTTATTTGAAATAATCTGGTATCTGTATCATGATTTAACTACAGCCTGGATGGCTGCTTTGAAATCGACTAGAATAACTGCATTAGAAAAACAATCGATCTTTATCTGGAGGTTTTTCAGAGCCATTGAGATTGCAAGGATCTCTGCATCAAAATTAGACATGAAGTGTCCCACAGGAGTACATTTGAAAAAACGTTTACTGTATACACCAGCCCCAGTGTTGTCTTGTATTTTAGAGCCATCAGTGTATACTCTAGTCCATTCAGGTTCAGGGTATTGTTCATGTTTAGTGATGAGTCAAGATTTGCTCAGGAGCCAGATGATAAGCGTCTAAGGATATGGCATGAAAAACGAACACACAATAAGTCCCAAAACATCACCAAACATCACGCCTTCCGAGGCGGAAGCATTATGGTGTGGGCAGGGATTTCATTAGTATACCGCACCGACCTGCAAATCTTTAAACGGGGTTCTTTGATGGCTATCTTGTATCGAGATGAAGTCCTAGAACCCATTGTGAGATTGTTTGGTCCTACTTTTGTTTTAATGGACGATAACACACGTCCCCATAGAGCTGACATTGTAGATGGCTACCTGGAGAGTGAAGGGATTGCACGTATGGCTTGGTCAGCATATTCGCCCGACCTTAATCCAATTGAAAATCTTTGGTATGCTTTCGGCCGTGCTGTATCTTCACGTTTCCCACCTCCAGCCACTCATATTGAGCTGGAAACTCGTCTACAAGAAGAATGGCAATTGCTTAATTCTGCGGTGGTTGACCACATAATTGAAAGCCCGTCGTTTGTAATTTGCCCTACCACAAACAGCGCAGTCCACACTCATGATAGATTTTTATTATCTCTTTGTATCATTATTAGTCAGATGTTATTCTTGATCACGTTCACACTTTGAAATATATTTTCTTAAATATTAGAGAAGTATCTCCACAAGATGTTTCTGTATCTTCACGTTTCTCACCTTCAGCCACTCTTATTGAGCTGGAAACTCCTCTACAAGAAGAATGGCAATTGCTTAATTCTGCGGTGGTTGACCACATAATTAAAAGCCCGTCATTTGTAATTTGCCCTACCACAAACAGCACAGTCCACACTCATGACATATTCTTATTATCTCTTTGTATGATAATTAGTCAGATGTTAGTCTTGATCACGTTCACACCTTGAAATATATTTTCTTAAATATTAGAGAAGTATCTCCACAATATGTTTTCAAAAAGAAGATATTGTGATAAGAACAGAGAGAGTTATGTTAATACTTCTGCTACCGAAAGTGACAGTAGTGACATTATAAGCCATACCTCTGATGAAGATCAATTACTAGAACCCTGGATTTAGAAAGAATTAGTCCAAAAGTCTGGAACTATACAATGATTCCTGACATAAAAGAGGCAGCTTTACATCAGTCAGGAAGAAATAAAAGAGAATTAGATATATTTAATATAATATTTGATAACATGTTCTGGGAAATATTGTAACCAAGACTAATCGATACACAGATCAAATACGGACCAATCCAAAAAGAATACAAATGACACATTTTCCCGTGGAATGAAATTAAAAGAAGGCTTAGATGAAAAAACAAAGAATTCAAATGAATTGGTCGAAGAGGGCTGTTATAGAAATGCCCATATTTAGAAAAGCAATGCCGCTAGAAGGATGCCTGCAAATTACAAAATGTTTGCATTTCACAGATAATAATCTGGTTGCCAATAGAGACAAATTGAGCAAAATATAGCCTGCGACTAATTTTTTGAATCAAACATTTAAAGAAGTGTATAAAATGAAATAGGACATTATTATCGATGAATCGCCTATGAAATTTAAGAAATGTATATCTTATAAAAATTCAATCCATCGAAAAGGGAAAGATTTTTTAATTCATCAAAAAGGGAAAGATCGGTATTGAATTTTGCAAATTATGTGAATCAGATTCAGGTTATTGCTATGACTTTAAAATATATACAGGTTATGATAAAATAAATTGTTATAATAGCACTTTTGAAAGTGTTGACAAAGAACTATCACAGTCTGATGTTACAGAGGTCACATTTCACACATAGATAACTGGTACTCTTCACGTAAATTATTTATGATGTTATCGTTCAGTTATAAAACAAATGTCATTGGCAGAGTGCCTGCAAATAGAAAGGATATGCCAAAAGATTTGGATAAAGTAAAATTTTAAAAAGGGGGGTAATATACAATGAGAAGCTGCAATCAAATACTTACTTTAAAATGGAAAGATAAGCAAGGTGTTCATATTCTGAGGACAAAACATGAAACAATAGAAATGACTACACAAAGATTCAATCTTACTTCAAAACAAACTTGTGTTATCGAGTACAACAAGAGAATGATTGGAATTGATTGATAAGAACCAAATACCAGTATGCTTTTGAGTCATGAGAAAATATATGAAAGGATATCAGAAAATTTTCTTTTATCTGTTTAGTATTGGTCTTTTCAATTCGTGCATTTTATTCAACAAAATAAATAATGTGGAAAAACAAAGTTATGTTGATTATAGAATCAAGATAGCCAAATCATTACTGAAGAATATGCCAAAACGAGATTATAAAGGACAATTATCGTATGGAGATATATCGGAGAGACTGAACGCGAAACATTGGACTAATTTTCCTAAACATATTGACCCAACAAGATCAAAATTAAGCTTATAAAGTTTGAATGAAAAATAAAAAATATAGTGAAATAACATGGGAGCACAAGAGGTGCAAAGTTCCATTACATGTACCAGTATGTTTATAACGTTATCACACCACTGAAGATTATTAATTTTTTATTATTGAGTTTTTTTATAAAGGCTAATTATTCAGGAATTGCAGATAAATGTTATTGATTTATGTTATATTTTAGTGACTGATAATAAACCTTTGTGGTATATTTACCACAATTATTACATCAGGTTGTAATTACTTATCAAATATTCCATAAAATAAACCAGTTGTATCTTACACATGTATTTATACTTCATAAGTCGTACACATTTGGTACAACTTAAGACCGATTTGCCAAACTGTGGAATGGCTCTGAGGTTGCGCGATCTGCTTTATGTTTTGGACCCAGGTAGTTGAAACATAAATCGTAGGTTAATGATTTAAATTCTTCATTCCTAGACTTTGAGAGAAGAATTGTGGATGCTCTGGACATCTGAATGTTAGACTATTCAAGATTTTTGACTTTTAACTATGTCACAAAATTAGAAGTTAAAGAATATTACATAGTAGTAAATTATAAGAATACTGCTGAATGATGAATGAAAAAAAATCGACTTTGAATTATCCTTATTTATTTTTTAACTGACTCTTCAAGGTAAGTGATAAATGTTATTGTTGGCACATAGAAATAACAATCTAAAAATGTGACATTAAATATCTCGGTCAAATTTTGTTTATGAAAATCCTTTTGTGTTTTTTTTTTGGGGGCAGATGACTATAAACTTTATGGATTATAAATATATGAACCAAAGGACCATAAAAAAGTTAGATTTTATAATATTTATTAGATTAATTTTTTTAAATAAAATAATGATAAAAAAATATTTGTAACTGGAAGTATGCCTTAAGACATGAAAAAATTTTTACAGACAAACTGTAGATTGCAATCTATATATGTTTATTCTCCTTTATTATTTAAATATTAATGTATGTTTTTACAATTTTTTATTTCTACCATTTTAAGCTAAAAAAGTACATCTAAGTTTTTAACCCTCCTTTTCTTGCAGTATATGTATCAGGTATTATCCATTTACATACTTAGTCAAAATTGCTTTCTGGCTTTATTAAAGCAGTTGGCTTATAATAAAATAGGTAATATAATAACTGACTGTTTTAATATCTGATTGTCTTCTCAACACATAGTTTTTAAAATGCCCCATGGTAATAGGCATTTTTCAGAGTTATGTTACATAAATTCTGTTAAATTTTTAACTTTTACTTTTCTCTCTTGATATAACATACGGTGGCAGGTACATTCACTTTTTTATTTTCAACAGTAATTCAAAGTACTGTTTGCATGATGGAGATAAAACATAGCCTAAATGAGAGAGAAATTATAAATTATAATACAGTGATCACTGTGTATGATGCATATAAAATGGAAATAGAGAACCTATAGTATTTTTAAGTAGGGTACAATTAATACAATAAAGGCTTATCCTAAAAACTTTTGAATGGATGTTAGAACTGTAATAATTTTATACCTGTAATAATTTTAAATGGGTAAAATTAATGCAACATAATGAATCTTTTTTTTTTTTTTTTTTTTTTATTCTTTTTTTTTTTTTTTTTTTTTTTTTTTTGCAGGCATATATTTGTTTAAGATGTCATACAATGCTATATCCAGTTCTTCAGCATGCGGAAGAAAATCTACATGATAATTTAAAAGAAAATAAGACCTGCAATGTATGCAGGAAATCAAAAGTTCACAAGATATGCATTCCATACGTATTAGTTTATCTTATAGCTGAACTTTCAGTTATGGGCATAAAAGTGGAATTTTGTACTGAGGATAATTGCAATAACATTATTCCTTAATGTGTATGCAAATGATAATAGATATTGTGAAAATTTTATTGCAATCTTAAAACCACTTGCAGTGTTATTTGAGTTTGATTTTCTATTATTCTATGAGGGTAGAATTTCATTTTAAATCTAATACTTTTATGTATTATTTTGTATATTTATTTTATTTTATTTTATTTTATTTATTTTTTTTTTTTTTCTGTTCAAAAGCCAATCAAATTAGAATTGAGGGAAAGTGCCTTAAACAAAAGATACTCTGCTTGATAACAAAATTAATATGAAAATAAAGAGGAACGAAAGAAGAGAAAAGTGGTGATAAGATTGAATATTCTGGAATACACAGTAAAGAAAAATAAAGTAAATCATCCCTCTGTGTTCAAATGTGGAACTAATTCTGATTTTTCTTCAGCAAAATCAAAAGTTCTTTAGGTTACTTTTGCTAAACATGTTATTATTTATACAAAAAATAAAATGAAATTTCCTCTAAAAACTATAATTAAATTATTTGATGTTCTTTGATTTTGAGAATAAGAAGATTATGAACAGAATAAGAGGGAAAAGGTAACTTCATAGGAATTTATTTGTGCAATTCTATCAATTGAACCAAGATAAAAGTATTTCTAGTTCCTTGATAATCTGATTTTCGTAAATTTTTATAAATATTTTTTGGTTTCTGCACCAAGGCAAGACGATGACAGAAGTTGAAAAAGTTGGCAAGATATCAGAAAACTTTTGTATAAAATGTGTACATATTTGAAATATTTTTTCCCAGTTCCTTGATAATCTGATTTTCGTAAATTTTTATAAATATTTTTCAGTTTCTGCAGCAAGGCAAGTTGGCAAGATATCAGAAATTTTTTGTATAAATCGTGTACATATTTGAAATATTTTGTAAAGTTTATGCTTATTAAAAATTTTATGAATGTGTGCGTATTATTTACTTTTTCAAAAGATATATATATATATACTATATAAATGATTTTAAAACAGAACTATGTTATTTTCATAATTATTTTTTATATTAAGATTAGTGATCAAGCATTTTGAATATTGAAAGTATTTTTTCTGTCTTAAAACATTTGAATTTCACAATTTTTTTAAATTCTCTCACACAGCGTAGCTCTTAGTAGTTGATCAGCTGTTGAAAGTTGAGCAGAAATTTTATAACTTTTTGTGGAAACTGGATTGAAACAACAGATTTGCAAGAATCATTAAATTTACCTGGAATATGTATGGAAAAATACAAAATAAGATATTTTTCTCGTGCTATTAAAGTCTTGATAAATATTTAAAATTTGGCTGCAACCTTTATTATGTGTAGGTTTTGAAAAAAATTCTTTTGATGTCGAGTAATCAAACATTGGCCCCTCTTTTTCAGGAGAGAGAAAAAAAAATCTTAATTTGGTCATCTGCTGCCTTTGTAATTTTTTCCCCCTCCCGAAAAAAGGGACTTGTGTACGATTTCCCTCAAAATCTACACTAAAAAAAGGATGTCTTTCGCCCTAGTTTTCAATTAAATTTTAAGAATGAATATAAAATCACAGGTTTTTCAAATGCGAAGGTTTGCATGAATTCTAAAAAATATATAATCAAATAATTTCTCCATATCATAGAAGGCAAGTAATTAAAATTTAATTTTATAATATTTTACTAACATCTTTGATACTTAGGTCTCAAAGAAAAGAGTTAAGAAATTTATTTATTTTCCATGGTGCTAGTAGTTTTTATTTACTTCTATCTAGATTATCCAAAATTCAGAGTTTGACAGGCATTTTGATGCCCATTTTTGTATCAGTCTGAAAGACTATCACTCACCTATTTTCCATCATATATTCCTCAAATACAGCAGATTTCTTCAGAGCTTATGTCTATACAGCAGCTTGGTTTTAGGAATAACCTTTGAGTAATGCCCCATTTTCCTACATTTCCCTACTGTAATATTAGACGAAAATTGCTACCTAGCTTCATTATGAAACCTTCAAAACAGATGTGTTTTTAGTAACTGCTAAAAGCATATAAAGATGAGATAATAATAAACATCTCAAAGATCAAGATATGCTATTAATAACTGCTAAAAGTATATAAGGATGAGATAGCAAAAATTCATGATATTTAATTATTTATTCTGCATGTGAAAAGAACTTAAAAGCTGTTCCATCCAGTTGCCACTGTAAGTATTTTTGATCAAGTATCAACAATGACAGCCACAAAAAAATAAAGTTCTGCATTGGGTCTTTTTGTCTCCAATCTGCAAATATTAGTTATGGAAAGATGCAGGTTTTTATCTGTTTCTGGAAGTATTTAGTTTGAGTAGATATAAGCACTCTGTGTGACTAGAACATGAGTACAAATAGCAAATGCTGTGGATAGATACTCTTTTACACCAACACTTAAAAGACAAAACATGTTTAATTAATAGTTGAAAACATGTTTAATTAAAAATGAATATATTATTAAGCTTATGTGCAAACATAACCATGTAGCATGTGAAAATTAGTTCAGACATCAAAATACAGATTAATGAAAATTATAAAATTGAACAGATAAAATTTGATGATCAATCAACTGTGGACTTTGTTCAGACACTGAAAATGCAGGCTAATGAAAATAATAAGATTGAACAGATAAAATTTAATGCTTAATTGATCATAGGAAGTGAATTTTTCTGACATGTTTTTACATCCATATTTCACTTAATATAACTGTTTATAGGGTTTAAATCAGATAAAACTCATATATTAAATTAAGCCTGTTTTAAACCAGCCCATGACATTTCAATCCTTGTTTGTTCAGTAAATGGTGTCTCAGAATTTTATCTAAAAATGGCTGTGGTCAATTTTAAACCTGTCATTCCTAATCTCAAATTTTTATGCTGTATCTCAGTACATAAGCTAAGACAACACAGGCTAATATTAATGAAGCATGCCGATTTTACATCTTAGTTACAAAATCAAATGTGATGAATACTGCATTATCTTAAAGTAAGTTATCAGGATTTCAATTCAGGGAACCAGTATATTTTAAAACATAGCTGCCTAATAATGATGCTGTTGCTTACCACTACAAATTTCTTAACTTTGTGTTAGTGTGCCGGGGTATTTCAGCACTTCAACACAACTATTTGTAATCTATAGAGAAATAGCTGCATTAATGCAAGGTTAAGTAAATACTTAAAACGTTCACTTAATTATACAAACATTACAATCATACATTATTATGAGGATCATACCAAATGATGCGAGTTGATCCTTCTCATGTGGTCTACGCTCTCTATGTATAAAATTTGTGTCGATTTTAAGGGTACATAAAAAAAACACATTACACACTATCAATCACCAATTCTAAAATCATGACCTTTCTAAAAGTTTAATTGCAGTGATATCCAGTCTGGAAATTGCAGGCTTTAGTGTATGTCAGTGTACAAAAACATCCTGATGAGTTATTTCCAATTCCAAATTTTGTGATGATGTTTGATTAATAATTATAATATAAAACAGGCACATACATTCTGCTGCAAAATTTCAGAATGTTTCACTTATTTATTACAGACAAATACATTTGATTTTAAAACAAAAATATTACAAAAATTCAGATCTTTTAAATGCATAAATAAAAATTAAATTCTTCTTTATATAATCTGGGCAGTGAGATTACTTTGACCCCCCAAAAAATATTCTTTCACTAATATTTTAGACAAAAGAATGTAAAGAATCACAAGTCAGATATTTAGTGCTAAAATTAATAATAAAATAATATTGTATCTATTTAGTATTTAATTTCTAGCAGTGCATAGTTATTTTTGACATAATGCATGCATTTATAAAAACCTAATGCCTAAAAGCATCTACATTAAATAAGAAATATATATTTAAAAATATTACTAATTATAAAAGTATACAAAGATTCTTAAATTTTTTATATACAGTTATTAAATGCAAAAGTTTCAAATACAGATAATTAATAACATATCTATTAAATTAATAACTAATACAGATAATTAAAACAATTGTAAGACAAAACCAAATATTTGTGCTTGTGATATGTTTGTGTACAACATACACACATAAAAAAGGGGAAAGGAATTTAATAATTTTTGAGCATCACTAAATCATATATAGGTATATACAGAAAGTCGATAACTTCTGTAGCATAATTGATTGTGCATATACTTTAACAATTGATACAATTTTTAAAGAAACTTATGAAGCTATTAAACTATGATACTAATGAAAAATATTAAGAAATCTAGGTGTTACACATAACAGAAAATTTTAACATTACTATTTTTTTGCACATATTATAAAAAGTGGAAATTACAGAAGTACTATTTGAATACTTTGTTAATGCTGGGTCGTAATAACTAATGTATGCTTCTTATATATTTGATTATTTAATCTTGCTATTTTCTCCCAAATAAAGCACAAATCAAGTTCATAACACATTGTAATATAAATTAATTTTAACGTGAAGAAGCTCGCAAATTTTCAACATTTTTTTACTTTTCACATATATATTAATAAATTTCATTTTATGAAAAATTATCTTAATATCTCACATAAACCAATAAAGTAATAGCCTAAAGCCAAAATATGTACATTTTATTGTACAATCAAAGTTGTTTTAAAACATTTCTCAAAGGGTTACCATAAAAATTTCAATGAGAAAATTTTTGTGAAATAAATGTATTTTACTGATGAAAATAAGATATTAAAAGTAACATCTAAATAATCTGCGAAAGAATATTTAAAGCAGCAGTTTAGAAAATATGCAAATTTAAAATTTGTTATCTATCCAAGTAAAGTTACAGATGTACAAATTTCATGTTTATAATGAAATGCAATTATATGCATTGACTAAAACACTAATATTACGTGAATTTGTTTAGCTGCAATACATTGATATATTTTGGCAACTTTAGAATATTGGACATAACTTCTTGATTTTTTTTTTCCTTTTATCAATTTATTTTTACTGAATTATTGTTCTGCAGGTATACCTCTTCTAGTACCTTTGCAAAAGAAATATTTCAGAAAAGAAAAAAATTAAATTTTCCAAATTCTTTAATTTCTAGACATTGCTCTTCATTATTTATACTTCAGTTTTTAGTCTCGTGCTTTTCTTGTTTACATGTTGGTGAGCTATTGTCCATCCTTCCTCTCTTCTCTTTAAAACTATGATTGCCTATCAAAAATAAATACTGCAATTTTAAAATCACTATATTGCATGGTTTATGCATTATAATAAATAACTATGTTCATTAAACATTTGTTTCATCCAGTGTAATTCTTAACTTCACAATTTTACTTTCAAACATCATTGGAGTAATATTTATTATTCACTGCTATAAACTTCTTTTGTAGAATGAATAGCTTTTTATTTAATCTGAAATTTAAAACCCTGCTTTTTGAATGATTTCTAGGCATTTTCTCCATGTATTTTTCATTTACAACATAATATGAGTAAGATAAATTAGATTTTCATAATGTTTTCAGTTTAGTCATTATATTTCACAGTAAATAAATAACATCTTTCAGTTATTCATAAATAATTTACCAACTAATTCATCGTGGAAAATCAAGCAAAGTCAATGCAATTAAAAGATAAATTTCAGCAAGAATCCTACATTTCTAATATAATCTCCAACGATAGCTCCATAGAATATAAAATTTCTTTACAACACATTTCTAAGAGATTTAAATAAATGTAAAATGATAGTGATTACAATATCAACTTAATTGTTACTTTATACATTATAAGGAAGTCTAAATATTAACATAAAAATTTGTTTTAAAGATACCGATTAAAATGTCAATCTGATTAAACTTCCATGGTAACTCAAACAAATATAGTGGAGTTATTGATAGTGTACAATCAATAACTAGTATTAAATGAAGTTTCAACATTTCGAAAACATAAAGTGTGCAAGA